GGGGTCAGCAACAGTAAGGCTTTATTTAGGAGATTCAAAGCTGTCTTTTCCATCAGGGTAAATTCCTGGGTTAGTGGTGTGTTTGGGTACGAGCTGTTTTGCACCGAGACAGACAGTCTCCCTCCCCAGACCCCCCCGGGCTCCCTGGCTTGCCAGGCAGTGCTGCTTCCCTGCACAGGGAGCCGAGCGGCCCCCAAGCCCCCGAAGCTGCAGTGACGTCAAGGCGGTGGGTGCGTGCTGGCTCAGACATGACAAAGGGGCTCCCGTGGCCACCTAGTCCTCCCCCCCGCACAGGGCCAGCAGAGCCTTGCGGTAGTCACCGGAGGTGTCCTTCTGCAAGAGGGAGACCCGTGTGAGAGAAGCGCCTGCTGGTGCCTGCCCTGCCCTGGAGGAGCCCAGTTCAAGGGGCTGGGCCTGGGGAAGCAGTAGCTCCGTGCCCCGGCCACCCTGCAGGCATCCCTGCAGCAGTGGAAGATGTCAGCACACCCCCTCTACAGCCAGACCTGCCAGCAGGGAGGCTGGCTGGGGCAAGTCCCCTCTCCCCAGGCGATGCTCAGCCCCTGGTGCCAGCCACGGGTGGCTCGGGCCCCTGTGGGGGCTCAGCCAGAGGAGGTGGCCAGCCAGGGAGGGGTGCCCGTGTCCCCTCACCTCGATCATGTGGTGCAGAGATTTGTCAAAGAGGTCCATGAACTCGCCCCGGATGTTGAACAGGTCGATCTCGCTCCGGGAAATCATGATCCGGGTGAGGGTCCTCTCGTCGGTGCCGGCACCCTGCAAAGGGCAGCTTAACACAGAACCCCCAAGGGACTGGGGCTCACACAGCCCCCCCTGTATCTCGAGCCAGTCCAAGCTGAGGGATGGCTCTAGAGGAGGCCACAAAAAATGATCCAAGGGTGGAACCCCTCTGCTGTGAGAACAGGCTGAGAGACTTGGGGTTGTTCAGCCTGGAGAAGAGAAGGCTCTGAGGAGAACTTGCAGCTTTTCAGTACTTCAAGGGGGCCAATAAGAAAGATGGGGACAATATTTTTAGCAGGGCCTGTTGTGCCAGGACAAAGGGTGATGGTTTTAAACTAAAAGAGGACTGATTTAGACTAGATAAAGAAGAAAATTTTTCCTATGAGGGTGGTGAGCCCCTGGCCCAGGTTGCCCAGAGAGGTGGTTGATGCCCCATCCCTGGGAACATTTCAGGTCAGGTTAGACAGGGCTTTGAGGAACTTGCTTTAGTTGAAGATGTCCCTGTTCACTGCAGAGGGGATGGGCTAGAGGACCCTGAAAGGTCCATTCCAACCTAAAGCATCCTGTGATTCTACAATCTCTCCTTGGACATGTGCTGGGCTCACTGCTGGCAGGACACAAGCCTGCCATGCTCCTGCTTGCCCCACAAGGGCGATGTGGTGTTGGTGTGAGCTCAGCCCTGCCCCCTCGGGGTCAGCCGAGGGGCAAATCCCATCCCTGCCCTGGGGCTCAGAGTCCCGACGGGTGTCTGCCCAGCAGAGCCCCCCCTCCCGCAGCTCAGCCCCTGGGGAGCCCCTCTGCACCTTCATGGACTTGTAGAGCTTGTCAGCGAAGAAGGCCGGCTTGTTCTTCACACTCCGGACTGCAACACACAGAAGGAAGAGAACGTGGGCTCCTGGCTGGTGCCACTCAAGGGCCACATGTCAGCAAGGAGTTGTGCCACCCATCGGGACAGCGGCAACCCCTCCATGGTACAAGGGTGGGGGCTCAGCCCCATAGAACACCCTATAAATGCCCCAACGCCAGGTCACGCTGGGATGGCCCGAAGGCATCAGGAATTTGCCATTGGGTGGCGTTGGCAGAGGCAGGGCGGGGAGCCCTGGCCCAGGGAGCACCCAGCAGGCACTGACCGATGGCCAGGAAGGCGTCCCTCTCATCTCCCGACATCCGCTTCCTGATGGCGTGCTCCACGTCATGGTTGGTCATTTTGATGAACTCCTGAAACACTGGGGATGGAGAAGAGGAAAGAGTCACCACCAACCCACTTCATCCCAGCCCTGGACACCCAGGGGGCTCAGACCTCAACCATGGAGACTTCTGGACCAGCTGGGAACAGAGCAGGCTTGGGTGACCTCAGCTAACCACCCCAAATAGAAGGCCATGCCATCTCCTCCCACAGCCTCATCCCCACCACCACTGGGGAGACAGGGCTCAGCCTCAGGCAGCCCCCAGTCTCCTGCTACCCAAGAGTCCCATCCAGGCCAAACCAGAGCACTTGTGTTGCAGCGGAGGGCCCAGCAGTGGTGGGGAAATGGGGTCCTACCTCTGCGGAGGTGAGGGTAGCTGCGGGTGCAGAGGATGCTGAGGAACCGGGTCTCCAGGGAGTCGCTGGAGTCGTTGCTGGAGACATCAGCAAGTTTCTGGGGAAGCAACCGAGAGTGAAGTGGGAGTTGGGGGGACTGGCATAGCAGAGAGGTGCAAAGATGTCAAACAGCTCTTCCTTGGACAGACAGTCCTGAATGCCCTCTTGCAAAGAGGTGGCATCTTAGGAGCAGGAAAATCTTATGAGCACTGCTACACACTCACATTACTGCTGAGAAAAAAAAAGTGTCCTGGCTTTTATGAAAAAATCATTGCAATGCTCATGGCTGAGAATTTTTTTTGTCCTTTAGCAGGGAAGTTTTAGGGGTGACCAGCATTGAAGAGGGAATTCAGAGCTGCCAGACACAGGAGCCACCCTCCAACCCTGCCTGGACCACAGCACTGCTGCCACCCCTGCTGCAGAGCTTGGTGGGCAGGCTGCACTCATCACACCCATTGGGTTATTGCAGCAGAAAGTCACCCCTTCTCCAGTTCCCACTTTGGGGGAGGCAGGGAAGCCAGCCCTGAGTCCTGCACTGCCCGGAGCACGGGTCCTCCATGCAGGCAGTGGGCAGGACTAGCCTCCAGCCCCCCCAAGGACAGGAAGGTGGCTTTCTCTCATGCCCAAGGAATTGCCTTCATGCAGGTCCCCTGCCTGTCCCCTTGCCACCCATTCTGATGCGAGGACCCTGGAGCCCCCTCCCCCAGCAAGCGAGTGGAGCCCACATGGCCAGAGGAGCCTGGCATGTGGGGCTGCTATTCCCAGCCCCAGCCTTGCACCCAAGGATTGCAGCATCCCCTCAAACATGCAGAAGGCTGAGGAGCGAAAGGGCAGGCACTCACCAGGGTCTCAGCAACAACCTGGTGGAGAGAAAGAGAGAGACAGGAAGACAACAGGGTCAGAAGGTGCTGCTCAACCTTTATTCCTCCCTGACAATGTGAAGGAAGTCTAGCAAAACCCCCTCAAATGCCCTGTGCCAAGCTCCCCTGCTTCCCTGCGAGCGGGTCTGATCTTAGGACCCATCTCCTGCAGCTTGGCACCTGCACCTCTCTCTACTTGGGTTGTGGGGAGCGGTCTTTGGCCAAGAAAAGTGAGCCCCCCACCCCTGGGGCTTGGGTAGCAGCGTGTTGCTCCTTGGGGAGCATCCTTGCCTGGCCTCAGGCTGGCTCACACAGAGCCTGCAGCGGGAAGAGGAGAAGGGCAGCTCTGCTGCCAAAATGCAGCCACGCCAA